GCGTGGCTGGGGGCTCCAGAGAGCAACAAGGGGCCCAGCACAGCCCTGCCTTGGGAAGGTGAATGTTCACACGTGGGAAATGCAGCCTAGAGGACCCATAAGAGAACAGGGAAAGCAAAAAACTGAGTCATTGAGGTGACGTTTCTATCAAGCAAAAAGCAAAAGGAGACTTGATTCCAGGTGCTGTGAGGGGGAAAAAAAAATCATGCCTGGCACGCTGGGGACTCTGTCACTTGTCTTGTAGGACACAGCTCCAGTTAAATGAGGAGTTTAAAAGTGATCCCAGCCCGTTGGGCCTTCTGTGTTGTTCCAAAACACTGCTTGGAGGTTTTGCTGTGGTGTCTGGGCTCAGCACCCCGGGCATGGCAGGATTTTGGGAGCATTGCTCTGCTGCCAGGCTGCAGGCCCTGCTGGGGCTGGAGCAGCTGCCAGGGCATCATGTACCGTGTGCCATGGTCCTTGGCAGACCAGAAGTGGTGGGGAGGGTTTTGGAGGGGCTGCTGGAGGCTGCAGGCAGGTCCCAGGGCTGTGGGTACACGGCTAGGGTGAGAACACGGTGGGGTTTGATTTTTGTAGGTGTTTTTTCCCCCTCCTCTCTCTTGACAAGAAGAAGGAGCTGTTATGGGCAGGATTCAGCCCATCCTCTCACCATGGGAAGCCTTTTCCCCTCCCCTGTCTGGAAGGCTTGTTTGGAAGAGGCTCTTGGGCTGCAAGTCAATGGCTTCAGGTCGTCAAGGGACAAAGCACCCTGAGTTCATTTAGGGTTAGGAAGGGAGAACAAAACATTGAAAATGGAATGCAGTCAAAGCCATGCTCAGTGAAGCAATGAAAACCTGCATGGAAACTGCCCTTCCAGGTAGTGAAGTGAGGATTCAGTGGGCAAGGAAGGGGTGGGAAGGGAGATGGGGCTGGGGCTCAACCCCAGGGTGCTGGTCAGGGCAGGGAGCTGCCTCCTCCCTCCTGGTGGGAAGGGCAGGAGGAGACCTGGGGTGGCAGGGAAAGGTGCTGCCAAGGCAGAGGAGCCTTGGGTTTTCCAAGGAAGTCCCAAACTGGGTGGCAAGCAGCTCTTGAACACACCTGTGGGGGAGGTTTCCAAACGGCTGGAGGCACTTGTTGACCTTGGGGAGGGTTTCCCAGATGTCCTGTGTTGCTGCTCATCCCTTTGAGCCTGGTTTTGGGGAGACTTATTAAAAACCCAGGGAGGACCGTGGGTGAAGGAGGGTCCAAGCAACCCTTTTCCAACTCTGTACCCCCTCCCCTGCTTCTACTTCCCCCACCTGTGGGGGAGGTTTCCAAACGGCTGGAGGCACTTGTTGACCTTGGGGAGGGTTTCCCAGATGTCCTGTGTTGCTGCTCATCCCTTTGAGCCTGGTTTTGGGGAGACTTATTAAAAACCCAGGGAGGACCGTGGGTGAAGGAGGGTCCAAGCAACCCTTTTCCAACTCTGTACCCCCTCCCCTGCTTCTACTTCCCCCCCCCCCAGGCTCACTCAATCCACACAGGACTGCCAGTTTTGAGGAGGGTTTCCCAGGCATCCCGTGTTGCTGCTCATCCTTTTGACCCTGTTTTTGGGGAGACTGTTTAAAAAGCCAGCAAACACCTTGGGGCTCAGGGTCAGGGGAGGGTTCCAAGAAGCCCTATGTCAACTCTGCACCCCCTCCCCTGCCTCTATCCCCCCCCCAGGCTCAGTTCTCAGTGCACTGCCAGTTTCAAAGGAGGGTTTCCCAGGCATCCCGTGTCTCTGCTCATCCCTTTGAGCCTGGTTTTGGGGAGACTTGGGGCAAGGGGTGGGGATTCCAAGCAACCCTCTGCTAACTCTGCACCCCCTCCCCTGCCTCTATCCCCCCCCCAGGCTCAGTTCTCAGTGCACTGCCAGTTTCAAAGGAGGGTTTCCCACGCATCCCATGTTGCTGCTCATTCCTTTTGACCCTGTTTTTGGGGGAGACTGTTTAAAAAGCCAGCAAACACCTTGGGGCTCGGGGTGAGGGGAGGGTTCCAAGAAGCCCTTTGCCAACTCTGCACCCCCTCCTCTTCCTCTATCTCCCCCCCAGGCTCAGTTCTCAGTGCACTGCCAGTTTCAAAGGAGGGTTTCCCACGCATCCCATGTTGCTGCTCATTCCTTTTGACCCTGTTTTTGGGGGAGACTGTTTAAAAAGCCAGCAAACACCTTGGGGCTCAGGGTCAGGGGAGGGTTCCAAGAAGCCCTATGTCAACTCTGCACCCCCTCCCCTGCCTCTGTCTCCCCCCCAGTCTCAGTTCTCAGTGCACTGCCAGTTTTGAGGAGGGTTTCCCAGGCATCCCGTGTTGCTGCTCATCCCTTTGAGCCTGGTTTTGAGGAGACTTTGAAAAAACCCAGTGAGCACCTTGGGGCAGAGGGTGAGGGAGGGATCCAAGGAACCCTTTGTCAACCCTGCACCTCTTCTCCTGGCTCTGGATCCCCCCCAGGCTCAGTTCTCAGTGCACTGCCAGTTTCAAAGGAGGGTTTCCCAGGCATCCTTTTTTGGGGGGGGAGACTTTTTAAGAACCCAGCTAACTCCGCACCCCCTCCCCTGCCTGTCTCCCCCCTTCCCCAGGCCCAGTTCACCGCGGACTGCCAGTTCCGGGAGCGTTTCCAGGAGAACAGCTACAACACCTACTCCTCGGCCGTTCACCGCAGCCCCCGCTCGGGTCGCCCCTGGTACGTGGCCCTCAACAAGCGGGGCAAAGCCAAGAGGGGCTGCAGCCCCAGGGCCAGAC